CAGAGGGTTGCTGGGACTGAGAGTTAGGGATGGGTGGAGGAGGGGGGGCCTTGGCATCTTCTCTTTAGCTGTGCCTTCTCTGAGCTGTGCCTTCACCACCCACTCTGGGTCACTCAGTTCTCCTCCATGCCCTTGATATAGTCCTGGACCCACTTGTCATTGGGGTTGGTGCAGATGGATTTGCCCCTTTTGGTGATGAAGCTGTGGAGCAAGAGGGAGAAGGATCACAAAGCGAGGGGCCCGGTGGCCAGAAGAGAGAGCCCTTCCTCCCTCCTTCCTAAATTCCCCACCTGACCTAGTCTGCTTCTCCTTTCTTTGATAGAAGCAGCTCAGAGCCAGTCTCCTCTCTGAGACATGCTCTTCTGCCCCTTGGACCCCTAAACCCATCTAGTCTCTGTGTCCCCCCCAAGAAAGTGCCCTGTTGCCTTCTTCTCCCTTCCTGTCGCTTCCCCACCTGTGGAGTCAGCTTTCCCATGGCTGCTGCAGGCTGCAGCCAGAAAGTGCCCAGCTTGCCGCTCAACTGCCTCTTCCTATGTAGTCATACTTGGGAGGTACGCTGGTGTCCCCATTTCCAGGTCACTCCCTGCCTCCCCCCAGAAGTCCCTGCTGGCTCCCTCTCCCCACAGTGTGATGTGTGTGTGTGAACCTACACAATTCCAGGCTTGGAGCACTGGCTGTTGGTCCCATAATAAGCCACAATCCGCGGACGGGGGATCCTGTGAGTAGCGTAGGCGAAACAGCACTCTGAGGGTTGGTAAGGTCCCCCTGAGGAGACAGCATCGGGATGCTGAGGAGGGTAAACCACTGGCTGCTAAAACGCCATACCACTGGCTCCTTCTGCAAGCCGAGGGCATGGAGGAGGGAAGAAAGGAGGCAGCCCCGCAGAACTTGGAGTGAGAGTAGGCTTTCCTCATCTTCTCCTCTCCTCCATAGCAGTCCCGAGCTCCTCTTCTCCTCCTCCCTCATCAGCAATCACCCTTCCTCCTGGAAAAACTGGTAGATGTCTTTCAAATCCAGGGTGGAAGAGCAGCACACTCAGATGTTCTCACACCATCTCTGGGGGCCGACTAGCAGATAAGGCTAGGGACTTGGCCAACATCATGCAGCCTTCGTGCCTTATTCGGAAAGGTGCTCCAAATGGGAGGAGTATTTGGAAGAAATCCCAATAGGGATTTGGAGACATGCCATTTGGGAATGCAAACCCAGTCTCTCCTAGTGCTCCACCCTGCCCATGTCCCCATTGAACCGACAGTGTGCCCGATGCCCACACCCAGCCCTGAGGACAATGGCCACAGAGTCAGGACACCCAAATCCTAACCCAACCTTGCCTGTGCTTCCTTTGTACTGTGGCCATTTAACTAACTTTCCCCTGTTCCCTCCTCTATAAATGAGACCCTTGGACTGGATCAGTGGTTTTCACATTGAGTTCTCTGGAGGTTGGGGGCCTTGGGGACTATTTCGGAGGCTCTGCTGCATTTGAGAGTGATGTCTTATACCCTACCCTACTCAATGTTTTTCTTTTTTTTTTTTCTGTTTTACTATTGGGCCTCTGTGGAAGATGTTGCTTGAAGAAAGGTTTGTGATCTAAAAAGTTTTAAAAATCAGTGGATTAGGTGATTTTTTTTTTACATCTATTATCTGACTGAGAAATTTCATGGCTCTTAAAGGAGAAGCAAGGAGGTGACAGCAGTCACCCCAAGCTTGAATTATAGAGGTAGCAGGAAGGACATTGCAGACCAAGAGCCCTGTATAAACAGGCGCATGTGGTTATGGAGTGGAGAAATCAGGTGTGTGCCTGTTATGTGGCCATACTGGATGGAAATGTGGGTGTGCATCACAATGGCTTTGAGGTCACGGAGGGTGGCCCGATGCCTGGGTGGAAAGGGAAAAGTCTGGTCCTGTTTTCCAGCTCCATTCCAGGCAGCATCCTCACTATCCAAAGAACAGCATAAGGGGAACCCTGGTTCCTGAGACCCAACGAGAGCTCCTATACTCTCCCACCTTGTTCCTCTGAGCTGTCAAATGACATTGCGGAGGCAAGTCAAACTGTGCACATACCCGCTAACTTTAGACCACTATATTTTAACAACCTTCTGCTTCCCCCCAGTTTCTGAAAAGGAGACTAGGTAAAATGGAAGAGTGATAAATAGTTTGAGTTGTCTTTAAAGGCACCTTATTGTAAGAAATCAGCTGAGAAATAGGGGCCTAGGAGGGACCCCACACTGTCGTGTTACCCCCAGCCCATACCCAAGCAATGCCGCACTCCCTGGGCACAGGTGACGCTGGAAGCAGGCTGGGCCTAAACCTCAGGAGGCCAATAGAAAAATGCCCTTGAGAGGCTCAAGACACTGCTCCTAATCTCCCTGAGGAAATGTCCCCCAAATGAGGTGGCCACTCTTTTGCTTGGTGGCAAAGAGAGAGAAGTTGAGGGAGTAGAGAGGCAGGCTGGCCTCACTCCATGGCCTTCAGGGAAAGGGGGACTGGTCCTGGGGGACAGTGATAAGAGATCAAGGCCACTTGAGTGAGGCCTGGTGAATCAGGATCTGTTTATCTGGAGACTAGAAGGCATTTGTGGTAGTGGAATGAGGCCCAGAGTCCCCCAAGTCAGGTCTCACTGGTCAAGGCTGGGAAATCCCAACTTAAACTCTTAAGCACAACTTATGGTCCTCAGTCTCATCTCCATCCTGCTCACCACACCATGGGGTGAAGAAGTGCTGTGGTGCTCAGTAGATATAAGGGTTGCTATACATACAATTTCAAGAAGATGCCAGCCTTCCTTTTCGCGTCCCCGCTGCTGGTCTCCCCACGAGCCCCAACCTTACTCCTGCTTATTTCCCTGCAGTGACTAGATTGGAAGGAAGACAGGGCATTGCACTCACCTGAGGAGAAGTCCGTCTTGAATTCACCATCACCTAGGGCGATGGTGATGAGGAAGAAGAAGGTAATGCCAGCCACGGAGACCTTCATGCTGTGGGGAGCTGTTGCAGGAGGAGAACTGGCCTGGTGAGGGCTTTGGAGGCTCCTGCGGTGAGGAAGTGTTGAGAAATGATCTTTGAGGCCAAGTATTTTTTAACATGAGGAAACAGATTTGGAAAGGAAGTAGCAAAGCAGCGATGCCTCAGCAATTTCATATCCTGCACATTTGTTGACAATGGCATGAACAAAGTAGGGAGAGCCAAGGTTTAAGGGAGGAAATGGTCTCCCATCCCCAGTGGGAAGTTCAGCTCTTTTGATATAAGCTTTTCCGTAGGCGTGAACATGAGCACAGGGCTGGGGCACTGTGTCAGATTTAGCAAAAGATCTCAAGGCTRGATGTGTCTTGTRTCCAATTCCATCTCAGGCCTTAGAACAGGCCATGTGGGACCTGGAGATTCAGGATCTGTTCATCTGGAGACTAGAGGGCACTTGGGGTAGTGGAATGAGGCCTGGAGTCCCCCAAGTGAGGTCTCATTTTGGGTGGTTGGGGTAGTGGAATGAGGCCTGGAGTCCTTGAGTTTTTTCAGGGACCTTTTGAAAACGTGGACATGAAAACGTTGTGTTGACTCTGAAATACTAAAAGCAACCTGCAAAATCTAACATGGTTCAGTTAATGGAATGTCTACATGATGTGGCGCAGTCTACAAATCTTTCTACACATTTCTGGAATCCACAGGGCTCTGTAAACACAGAGATTTTCATCAGTGCATATGGTGGCACAGTATCCCCTGAAGTGAAGTGAGGCTATTATGGTCTTTATTCATCGCAGTTAGTAGAAACATTCATGTGTTTGCTACAGGAGATTGCTGTGTTTGATTAAAATATTGTTTCCAGACCTCATCAGGGATAAGTACCATCAATATATGTTTAAGGTTTTTACTAAATCATTCGAAAATTGTGGCAAAAACATAAAACATATGTAACATAAACTTTGTCATTGGAACTATTTTAAGTATACAGTTCAATAGCATCAAATACATTCAAATAACTATGCAATTTTCATGACCATTCATTCAGAGAACTTGTTCATTTGTGAATCGGAAACTCTGTATTCATTAAACAATAACTCCCCACTCTTCCTCCCTTCAGTCCCTGACAACCACTGTCTGTATCCTGTCTCTGTGAATTTGACTACTCTAAGCACCTCATGTGAGTGGAATCATACACTATTTGTCCTTTTGTGACTGGTTTATTTCACTTAGCATAATGTCCTTGATGTTTATCCCTGTTGTAGCATGTGTCAGAATCTTCTTACTTAAATTTTTTAAAAGTTTTATTTTTTCTTACTTCAACCTTCAAGGGAATCTCCTTACTTTTTGAGGCCGAATACATTCCATTGTATATATGAACCATACTTTTTATCTGCTAATCTTTTGATGGGCACTAAGTTTGCATCCATTTTTTGGCTATTGTCATCGATAATGCTGCTATGAACATGGGTGTACAAAAATCTCTTCATGTACCTGCTTTGAATTCTTTTGGGTATATGCCCAGAAATAGAATTGCTGCATGATATCATATTAACTTTTTAAAACCTGAGAAATTCTGCCTTCCAAAATTCATCTAGCACCAGATGCTTTGGAAATGGGATTGTGGAGCTGCCTTATGCTTATTAGGCAAATGAAACTAATTTTTTAACATTTTTCCTTTCTTTTTAATTTTAATCCTCAAAGTTAATTTCCGCAATTGACTGTATCACAGAATAAAACTAGCTTTAAAATTCGCCCAGGTGCGGTGGCTCACGACTATAATCCCAGCACTTTGGGAGGCCGAGGTGGGTGGATCACTTGAGGTCACGAGTTCAAGACCAGCCTCGCCAACATGGTGAAACCCTGTCTCTACTAAAAATACAAAAATTAGCTGGGCATGGTGGCATGCACCTGTAATCCCAGCTATTAGGGAGGCCGAGACAGAAGAATCGCTTGAACCCGGGAGGTGTAAGTTGCAGTGAGTCAAGATTTTGCCACTGTACTCTAGCCTGGGCCACAGAATGAGACTCCATTCCAAAATAAAATAAAATAAAATAAAATAAATATTTTGATATAATTTAATAACTATATTAAATATACTTTAGTAAGTATTAAATATACTTTAAGAATTTAACTTTATTTTACTTTAAGTTCTGGGATACATATACTTAATGTGCAGGTTTGTGCCATGGTGGTTTGCTGCATCTATCAACCCATCGTCTAGGTTTTAAGCCCCGCATGCACCAGGTATTTGTCCTAATGCTCTCCCTCCCCTTTCCCTCCACCCGCCAACAGGCCCCAGTGTGTGATGTTCCCTTCCTTGTGTCCGTGTGTTCTCATTGTTCAACTCCCACTTATGAGTGAGAACATGTGGTGTTTGGTATTCTGTTCTTGTGTTAATTTGCTGAGATGATGGTTTCCAGCTTTATCCATGTCCCTGCAAAGGACATGAACTCATTCTTTTTATGGCTGCATAGTATTCCATGGTGTAATATGCCACATTTTTTTAATCCAGTCTATCATTGATGGGCATTTGAGTTGGTTCCAAGTTTTTGCTATTGTGAATAGTGCTGCAATAAACATATGTGTGCATGTGTCTTTTAATATAATATATAAATACACTTTTAATATAATTTAAAAAATACATTAAATTTAATTTAATAATTATATTAAATATACTTTAAATATAATTTAATAACTACTTAAATATGCATTTAATATATTTCAACAATTATATTAATTATACTTTTAATAATTTAAAAGCTAGCTTTAAAATTGATATTTAGGCCAGGCGTGGTGGCTCATGCCTGTAATCCCAGCACTTTGGGAGGCTGAGGTGGGTGGATCACCTGAGGTCAGGAGTTCAAAACCACCCTGACCAACAAGGCGAAATCCCATCTCTATAAAAAATAAATAAAATAAAATTGATATTTAATTTTTATATTGAAACATAAAGACTTGACAATAACAATTCAGCTACCAACTTAGTCCCCTAATTACTTTCCAGTGTTTTTAGCTTGTTTTTTATGTGGCTACATTAAATGAATTGTATGTAATGAGGCATGTGGGTATATTTTAATATGGGTAAGGTAAAAGGGTTTGGGTAA